CCTCATCTGAATACGCGCGAACTAAGCATTATGGTAGGAAAATAGAAACCTAGAAAGCCAGAAAAGCTAATTAACATAACTGAATTAACATAACATTAACATAACTGTTAATTAGCCAGAAAGCTAATTAACATCCTTCACCTTCGGACTTATCCAAAATAAAAACTGCGATCAAATCTTCGCAAATCATTTCAAGCAACTTAAAACATTCGCTTATCCCATCTGTTGCGAATTCTGCCAGATTATATGCTCTTCCCAAAATTCATAAAAGTGGTATTCCTTTCCGCCCTATTGTATCAAATTTAGGTACTGCCTCGTATCCATTAGCTAAATATTTAGTTTCTAGATTTTCCACTCTATTAGACAATAACTTTACACCATAAAAAATTCATAGAGTTTGTAAAAAAGGTTTAAAAACATTTCTCCTCGTAATTTACTCATGGTTTCTTTTGATGTAAAATCATTATTCACCAATGTCCCAGTGGAGGGTGCATTAAGATGTCTAGAAACCAGACTTCGCGAATTTTATTTCTCTTGCATCGAAATTGATGAGCTAATTTCTCTCACTCAACTCTGTTTGAAACAAACACATTTTGTTTTCCAAAATAAATATTACAAGCAAACTGAGGGATTAGCCATGGGAAGCCCCCTCAGTCCCATCCTGGCTGATATCTACATGCATTATTATGAATCAAAATTGTTTGAAACTTTAAACTTCCCGGCATGGTTCCGCTACGTAGACGATACTTTTACCCTGTTTGAAGGTAATAAAGATGATTTAAATAGAGTTCTTTCAACAATGAATTCTATTGATCCTGCTATTCAGTTCACTTTTGAACTTGAGACTTGCAATTCTCTTTCGTTTCTCGACATTCTGGTCACACGTAACACATCCAACTTCAGTACTACAGTTTACCGTAAACCTTCATCGGTTTGCCTTCCACCACACTTTAAATCATGTCATCCGACTAAACAAAAGTTAGCTTCATTTTTATTCCTATGTTTTCCGTGCTCTTCAAGTTTGCTCCTCCAAACTAGCCCTTGATGAAGAACTAAATTATTTAAAAGCAATAGCTATTGACAGGGGCTTTTCACCCAACATTATTAATCAAGCAGTTAAAAAATTCTCATCTCAACACACTAAAAGCCACACTCTTATTTTAGGAGATTATAAAAATTCTGTTGTCATTCCCTTCTTTCCATCAATTAGCTATAAAGTTGCACATATTTTGCAGAAATTTAACTTTCGGGTTGTTTACTCTCCCATCAATAAAATTCCAACTTCTATACTCAAGGACCCCATTCCGGATATGAATTCCTGGGGTATTTATAGGATTCCTTGCCAGTGCGGTTTAATTTACATTGGCCAAACTAAGAGAGCCTTAAAATTTCGCGTCAAAGAACATGAGGCATATGTTAGAAAAAAGGAAACACAGAAGTCTTCTGTTGCTCAACATTGTTGGTCCGAAAATCACACTTTCAATTTTTCTGCTGCCAAAATTATTCAAAAAACATCTTCCATTGGAGAACTGGATTTTCTAGAGGCATTTCACATTCATAAAAATCTTTCTGTTCTAGTTAACGATCCTAATTCCAATCCAAATTTGCCTTCGGCTTTTAGAGAAATTATGTTTTAGTTCTGGTTTCGCCAACAGATGGCGCCACTTGCTTATTCTTGTCCATTCTTTCTTATTATATCTAAACATTATTTCCTATCTTGTTCATTTGCGGTTTTGCAGCTGAAGATGATGGTTCGGTAAAACCATCGAAACTAGTCCTGTGAAAGTTTTGTAAATTAACGCTGATTTTTGTTGTTTGACTTCTGAATTAGTAACATAACTGGTTAATTAAAAATAAATGAATACTCTACAAGTTTTAGTTCGCAAAATAATTTACGGCACGAGTCTCATGTAACAATCATTTGACATGTATTAATCCAAGAATGATACATTTTACAGAAGTTCCTTTATAGGCAGTTAGTACTATATTTAGAACAGAACCGAAAATATTTAAATGAAAATGAAGAGTTATTGCAAATATAAGGTAGGATTTCAATTTACATTATCTTACGTGTATAATCATGCAATGAAGCATAAGATGCAATCACGTCTACCAAAAATTATATTCTAGCCCATAAATAAATCCATATGCAATCCATAAATGGATGATCTATAGCATGAAAAGGGTTTAATAGTGATTAGCAAAACTTCGACTTGCCTAAGGCAAGAAATAAAATGAGTCCTAACTGCAGTGGGATTAATTGAACAGTACTATGAAAATAATTAAGAAAGTACTTAGGAAGCACAGTTTTGATACTTAATTATAGTAATATACATATAAATATGCATATATAACACAGTTTTGATACTTATAAAGGAATTTAAATCCTCCAGTTAGCATTATATATAAATTTATGAATGTTTTCAAGTTCGGAAACTATGAAAACATTAAAAGTATTGTAATTTCCTTTCGATTTTAAATATGTGTTTATATATAGCTTTCGTTTTACTTTTTTATATTTAAAGATATTTTTCATAATTACTGTGTACAACTTTTGTAATTCATCTCTTTAGAGTCTGAAAAAAAAAAAAAAAAAAAAAAAAAAAAAAAAAAAAAAAACTGCAATCAAAGCTTAAGTTTTAAAAAACATTATTTATATGTAATTTTAGAAATTTAAATTAATAAGTCAATTGGGATGAAGGAATCATTTTTATTAAGGATGGGATATTCAAATACAACGATTAATGACAAAATCTGAGGTATGAAAGGGAAGATTCGCTCCTTTACAGTAAATGCAGTTATCTTAATTACAAATTCAAAACCATTAAAACTTCAAAAGATTAATTTTATTGATGTCCTCCAGAGGTTTTTTAATGAAAAACGAACGCGACTGATGCACTTTTCTTAGGCTAAGATTTTCGATATAAATTCGTAATTATCTTTAACAAATTTTAAAAAAAAAAAGATACGGAGCATGTTTATACATTTTTTAGAAAGATTTTGACAAAGAATTAGAAAAAAAGAAATGTTTTAGGAATAGAAATTTATGGCAAAAAATTTATTACTTAAAATGAGAAATATCGCATGCCACTTTTAAATTTATTGTTCTTTCAAAATATCACATGTATGCAAGCTATGGAATAAAGTATATGTTTTTGTGCTTTCCGAGGAGAAGTATTTCTATTCCATAATTCAGAAAAGTCGTGATACGTATGGTATTAAAATTTAAGAGCAAAATAAGTAACATTATTAATCGGAAATGGGAAAATCCTTCAATTTATTTCATCATTCATTTTCTACATAGAAAGAATAATCCAAATGAATACACGAAAAGGTACGTACTGTTTCAAATGTTTCTAAAGTTAAATCGATGGAAATAAGAAAAAAATTCCGTTGATGCAGAAATAAGTTGCAAGGATTTTAAATACACCTGTAGCAACAATAAATAAAGTAATAAACCAAGATTTAGAATTTAAAACATTTAAAAAACACAATGTTCACCAACGTTTGCCGAGACATGTGGCTCAACGTAAAACAATTATTAGACCCTATGTGTAAGCTATTTAGCAGGAGATAAATGGAAATGCATTGAGGTTCTTGATGAAGCATGGATATATCTAAATGACTGCAATAAAAAAAGGTCTATTTATTACTGAACCAGAGAAAAAATATACAGACCTGGTTCTGGTAATGCAAAGAAAGTTTCGCTAGATTGCTGCAGGATTTCTTGCAAGAGAAAGTGTTACATTCAACATTTACAGAAGTTCTATTTCTTTTTATTCCAATGACCTTTTAAAGGGTGAAACTTCATCTAGCAAAAGCAACAAATCATACTTCGAAAAGTAACACTGCATGCCTTGAAAAAATGAAGATTGATACAGGTGTTGCATATACCCCATTTTAAAGTATTCCTGAGACGTTCCCTCTCGTTTCGCTTATGGAATATTGTGTCTTTGGTCTCTTGAAAAGATCTCTTTCCAAACGCAAACACACCACGATTGATGAACTCTGGAAAGTAGTGGAAAGAAATGGGAATCAATACCCCCGGAAATTTTACGAAAAGCCCTTCTATCAGGGAAATAACAATGCAGACCTATAGTCCAGAAGAAAAGACAAGGAGAACATTTAAAAACATTCTTTATGTTTTAAATATTAATTAAATTGCCTCGAAATCGTTTTAAAAATGGGTATAGACACTCTATAATTTAACATTCTTCTGCGTCTAGTATTTATCTATATGAACTCTTAATGTAATTCTTTCCCTTTCATATTTACTTTGCTTTCAAACGATGAAACAAAAATATTAAAAAAAGTTAGCTATTTCTCAAATACACTTTTTTGTCAAATTATACTCATTATATATATTAAATATATTTTGTCAAATTATATTTTAAATATTATATATGTATAATATTTAAAATATAAAGAATGTTTTTTTTTAAATATTCAGGAAAACCTCAAATTTGTAGAACTTTAATTATGTACTTTTGTTACTAAATTTCATTTGTATTTCTTAAAAAATATAGGCGTCTTTTTAAAATACATATATTTAAATTCATTTTTCATTGAACAAAGATTTCAGATTTTTCTTTAATTAACAATATTAAACAAAAGATTCAATATCAAAAGATTTGAAAAATTCAAAAACATTTTAGAATCCAAAATCTTTAAATTCCAAAACCTTTCAGTATTCGATAAATAAGATTTGTTCGAACTTTAAACGAAAAATCGCTAATTATCAATTTTTAAACCCGAATTATATTTATATTATAATACATATGACTATACAAAATACTACAAACGAAAAAAATTATCACTCAGTGCTTTTTTAGACCTGAATAAAGTTATTTAAGTTTAGAAAATTAATTTTAAGTCCTAAAGATCTTCCTAACAACTAAAACTCGGTTATGCGTCAATAGATGGCGCTACCGTTCATAAGACGGGTCGCCTAGTAACCTGTTAGTCTCTTTGGATCTTATAAAGTGATAACATCAGAAAATCTCAACTGTTCTCACCGAGTTCCGAAATGATGACAGAATGGCCGAAGCGCAAACTGACGATGAGTTGCAGTCTAGTCAACCGGACGACGACGTGCGGGCAAGGTCCGGCCAGAAAAGTAAGCCACATTCACCTCTGAGACGTGGTTTTAGTCGCATGTCGAAGTGGGTGCAAGTTGCTCGAAGAGCACTTGTCAATTCTAGAGAGGGCTCCATGGGGCACGGAAGTTCTCTCTCTTCCATAAAGCGCCAGGAAGCTCAAGAACAAGTTGATGATGAGGATGATATAGAAGTTGATCGAGAGGACACAAATTTGCAACAAGAGGTAGAAAATCTTAAGAGGCTTGTGCAAGAAAAGGATCAAATTATCAGTGACCTACGGAGGGAAGTAGAGCAAATGAAAGTGAGTTTCTTATTATTTCCAGATAGATTTATTAAACTATGTTACTGGTAATGTATGAAAGCCGGCATTCTGGCCGGAAATGTATAAAACGATAAACATTTCATACATTTTCTAGGCATTCTATAATATGCCTGACGACAAATCCTCAAAGTATCCTAACATCTCGTTTCAATTATCCATACATTTATACATAATTCGTACACTATTCATACATTTAATACATTCATTCCATAATACGATGTATTTCATACATTTTCATACATTGTTTTCTTTAATAAGAAAGGCATTAAATTTGATTTGTACAACTGTCATTTTTCTTTTCTTTTTTTCTTTCTTTCTTTTTCTTTTTTTTTTTTTTTTTTTGAATGAAATTTTTGTAATTGCAATCGTTTATTATTTTTTCTAAGTAACATTTGTATTTTTGAAGAATGTACATCTTTTAAATAATAGCCTTATGAACTTTTTCTATACTTCGCTTAAATAACGTTTTTTGCTCTGTAGAATCGGCCGAGCGGTAAAGTCGTTGAACACTGGTAGTTTGGTCCGAGGTTCGAATCCCGCGAACGGGCTGACGGCATGGGAGTCTTCGTGGTTTTCCCCGTGTGTAACGTGTTACAAGTCAGTTTCCCTTACAAATTAATTTAATTCAAACTTTATTATCTTAATATGTGAAATATGATGGAACGATTTTTTTTTTTTTTTTTTTTTTTCTGTTTTATTCCCCAACAAGGAAGAACATTTCAAAAAAATTACGGATTGAAAATTTCATATCACAGTGTAATTACTATAAAAAAGAGTTTACTATTGAAAAATTTAAAAGTGTAAAATTAAAAAATTATGCGCATATTTCGCGTTTTTTCTTCTGCAGTAAAATTAATAGGTGGTGTTGTCCTTTCCCAAAACTGTATCTTTTTTGTTAATTAACATTAAAATACAACTGAATATCAGTTTTGAAACTCCAACTTTTGTTTCTGCATTCTTAATATTTTTTGGAACATAAATAGATATAATATAGAAAAATATTAAAACATTTAAAGAAAGGATATTATCGTTTGAAAGAAATGAATAAATAAGTAAATAAAAACAGACATGCAAAGAGTTGACATTTTCCTATCAGAGGCGGTGTTAGGAAATGAGGGAGATTGTTTTATCTGAACATTTGCGAGCCCCTATTCATAAGACACAGTATGTACTATTTACGATTCCTTAAAAAGTAATTTATGATTTTGAAGCTCTTTGGAGGGCAGACTTTATTACAGTTTCAGTTGGCGTGTTTCCGAAATTCTGTCTCAGGTTATTACAAAATTCTATCATAACTATTAAATTTCATTTTCTTGCACTTGGTATTATACGCAAGAAGAATTGGAAATTTTGTTATTGTTCAGTCTTATTATTTATGACATTCATGGTATCAATTAATACTTACAGCAAAATGTTTTTAAGAAATTCCGATATAATGAATTTTTAAATGGTTAACTTTATGCTGTATTTAATAAAGCATACATCATGATAGATATAAGTTTGCTTTTCTTATCAGTCAGCAACATCGCCTGTTTATATCGGGTGCGATTTGGTTTAAACTAAAAATAATAAAACTTCTTCGAAATATTAATTAGTTGTTCTTAAGGTAGATCTTATCCGTATTCCAAACCTTCAAATTAAAACTATTTCGTCAAAGGAACAGTTTAATTGAAAATTACTAAATGGAATTTAAAGGCTAAAATCTTTAAGGATAAAATATTTAATTTAAAGATTAAATATTAAAATAATTAGTATTTTATTTTTAAGGATATGAACAAAAAGATTTAATACTTGCGAGACTGTAAACTAAGAAATATTCTGAGGCCTTTTCCGGGATCATTTAATGTGAAGTTGTAATAATATAAAGAGTGATTAAAATATATCTGGCTAAAATGTAAAGGTGAGTAGAGAGTAAAAACGTGCTGTACGTTCACGAACTGATTCAAAGAACAGATTTACTGACTAAGTGAGTGAAGATTAATTCCTAAAAAAAAAAAAAAAAAAAAAAAAAAAAAGAGCTGTAGCTGTTTCACAAATCAGCCACTGAGAGCTACTGGTGAAAGCTTGGTAAGAAAATCAAATTCCCATTTTTGAGAATAAAAGCATATTTATTCTCCCATATTAAAAGCGAGTTTAATTTTTATCATTTCCCAACATTTTAATTTTTTTTTTTGATTCTAGAATTTTATGGCTAGTTCTGTGTAGAAAGGAAGTTTCAGGGAATCTGAAAATGATAGTTGAAAGGAATCAGTTCAGGGAACTCGAGTTTTGATTGAGTCGATCCTTCCGGTCCCACTGCTTGTTCGATTATTTTCATTTTTCGTTCCAGACTCGCTGACAGTTTACAGTCCCATTGCTTGTTCGATTTTTTTCTCGTTATTCGATCCCTCCTCTCTAACCTTCCTGATTCACTCTTGTTGAGTTTCCGATCTTTTTAATCAAGATTATTGTCAGTGAACGGCGAGATACAAAAAAGAACAGATTCAGTTCACCGAGAGAACGGTTCTGATCTGCTCCCATAAAAGTGCGGTTTTGCCCATGTCTAGTAGGAAGGACCCCAATAAGCAGATTTTGAAATGAAATGTGCGTGCCAAAGCAATTCATTGAAGTGAGAGGGCATTCTTGAGTGGTAAGTGAAAAAGCATTCTGCTGACGTAAATCTTCATTCCCCAAAGGAAATTGAACGCTACCCAAACGCGAAGCCACCCGGCATGATTTTATCTATGAGGCTGTAAATGGAAGTAAAACAATTACCTGGAATTCGTTCCCTCTTCTTCCTCTTGAGCAGTTGCCCCGTTTTAGCCCCAGTCTCGTATGTACAAATGCAGAACTCAGCGTTCATGTAGCGAAATATAATACTCGAAATTCACCTTGGGAATGATGATTTACGCCAGCAGAACACTTTTACCTACTACTCAATAGTTTTTTGCACCACTCTAGTGCGCTGTTTCCATACATACAGATTCTATTACGAAATCTGCTTATTTCGGTTCCCTATACCTGCTGTTATATATTCGCCAGATATTTTTCAAGTAATTATGTGGAAATATAATTAATATATATAAAGTAAATGAAATATTTTTAAGTGAAGTGTTTTCTCTAAAAAACAAATTTTCACTTTTTATTTACTTCTTAAAAATATGTTACTGAAATATTTAAACAATAATAGGTTTTAATATAATGTATGGAAAAGATATGCTATATCAATTTCAGATTTAAGATTTGATGAAATTCAGATTTAAATACCCATGAAATCATTGTTAACCTGATGTTAAATTCTTCCTGATTTCAGATCGTAATTTAAGGTTGATATAATTTAGTGTCTAATTTTAAAAATTAAGCTGTTGCTTTTGATTTAAAATTTGACGAATTCAACCTGAGATTGACATTGGCTTCATAGTTGATTTCAGATTGAATTTGGCTTCATACTTCGTTTCTGAATAAATTTGCCCTCTCTTGTACAGACAGTACTTATACGGAATATAATAATAATAATACTTATACAGATTATAATAATAATAATACGTGTACAGATTATAATTAATAATAATACGTGTACAGATTATAATTAATAATATACTTGTACAAATTATAATTAATAATAATACTTGTGCAGTATATAATTAGTAATAATACTTGTACAGATTATAATTAATAACAATGATACTTTACAGATTATAATTCATAGTAATACTTGTACAGATTATAATTAATAATAATACTTGTACAGACTTATCTCAAAATTGTGCTGCTTACATAATAGTTTATTTCATTTTTATTAAAAGGAAAACTTCTCAGAAACCATAAAAAGAAAATAACCCCCAAAAAATTTTGGAATGATAAAGATATAAAAGAAAAGTACGTGTACAATAATCGTGAAAGAATATCTTTAATTTCAAAAAAGTACAAAAGTAAGAAATAACACCGCAGTGCTTATAAATCAGTTTTTAAATATTTATTTTAAGAAAGGATTTTTATTCCCCTTCTGTGAATAAAGAAACACGTTTTTGATCTGATTACACCGGATAAAAAATTAAGCTAGAATTTCCAGAAATAATTGCTGAGTTATATAGTAAATTTTTTAGAGCTTTGTCAATTACTCTGTTACTTAACTATATTTAACCTTGCTACTAATTAGGTATATAAACTTTCTGCTGGTTTTGGCTTGCTCTTTCAGTTAAAAAGGATTATATAGGTTGTTTTATATTTTATTACATTTATTTATTTCTAGTCAATCCTCTTATTTTCTTATTAAATCTTTCTTCTCAGAAATTTTTCTTCGTTCCAAACTTCCCTTCCTAAAAAAAAGGCTAATTCTTTCGGTGTTTGCTATAGCAATTTTACCTTCCAGTTTTTGCAAAGCTTTGACTTTTAATTTCATTTATAGTGTTCTTGTTACAGGTTCTGTATTTAAGAATGATAGTTTACACCTTGTTAAATTTCTGAGCAATTTTACACGAGAATAAAAATTCTATAATAACTCAAGGAGAGAAGATGGCAGTTCAGGCTCTCAAAGTCAAGTGAAATATGGCTATACACATATCGAGAGAGAATAATTACAAAAAGTAAAAATTAAATTTACTGAATAACTTTGTTAACTTAAATACACAATTATTTAAAACACATTAATTATTTTTAGATTATATTATTAATTAAGGAAAGTTCTTCAAAGCTATCTGGGCTAGAAGAATGCGTTCATGGGCGATTTTCTAAAATGAATTGTATCTTATTCAATTTATGTAAAAAAAAAAAAAAAAAAAAAAAAAAATTGAAATGTTTCAGATTTTAAATTACGTCCAAAGGGGCGTTTTTTAACATTTTGTGTGTTACCTTTCTTTATTAAATATCATGTTCCTCGCACTTAAACCATAAGATCCAGTGCAACAGCAATATCGCAAAATAGTTTTAAAACGAGCATATCTTTAGAATTTCCGATACAGAGACTCACGCGCTGGAGATAAAAAGGGTTTTTTTCTGCA